ATCTGGACCTTTGGTCACCTCTAATATCAAACCCACCCGTGAACCGTGCTTGATACGGGGATGGATCGGGTGCATCTCGATGCATCTCATCCAAATATGCATCCAAGGATAAAGATATCTTCTACGCTTCTTACCTTAACTCTCCTTTCTAAATCCAACCCCATATATACCTAACTAATAATATGTTCATGAAGCATGAACATATTTGTTAGAACGTACCTATCTTGTAATACATTTAACCATTCAAATCTAAATATGTGCATATTTCCTCATGACAAAAAAAAAAACTTTTGTTATTGATCGTTATTTCAGCATTCTTTTTTCCTTTCTATCTCTATAAAGAGCGGCTAATTTATATATCTATATAAAACAGGGATCAAATGAAGATGACGTGGCATGTTGGTGTTGTAGGAAGTGGTCATAGAATCTTTCTCCTTTTTTTACGTTTTTCTAAAGAAAAATATGTTAAAAGACTTTTATATCTATAATTAGGAGCTTAAACAGAACTTATTTAATTTTCATATTTTAAAACCATTTTTATGCTAATATTGAGGTAATGATCAATGATTTTTGAATTTTCTATAGACAGAAAGAACGCATTGGATTCATATAGTGTATATCTAAATTATTTATTTTTTACAATTCACATATGAACTTTTATTTAGCCTTTTTTTACATTCGTACGATATCACTCTTCGTACTTGAATCTTATGCTGTATATGTAAATATATATACATATGTACGTACATACAGAGAGAGAGTGAGGTTCAAGGAAAAACCCAACACAAATAAAAAATTGAGAAACACCCTGATAACCATTCATCTGGACGGTATGTACATGGGCATATAGGTAATTGAAACTGTTTTTAATTTTTATGCATATGTACATACTGGATAAATTGCTTATAAATTACAAGTGTGCATATGTGCATACCGAAAAATTGCTTACAATTTACCTCTCATTCATTTGGACGGTATGAACATATGTGTGTGTATATATAAGGTCAGTTTCAGGAAAAAATCGTAAAAAATGAAAAACTGAAGAACATCCCGTTAAGTGTTCATCTATCATTGATTTTCTTGTACGTAATCTTATATATTATATGTTGTGGATAAGGAATAATTTCATCTATCATTAATCTTCTTTTGTCATTGACTTTCTTGTATGAAAATTTATATATATATATATATATATATACGGAGAGAAAGATGGGTAAGATCATTTAATGTTAACTATGTAAACTTAAAAGGACTAATAGGAATGATTCTTGCGTATGGGTTACATTGAATGTTTGATTATTGGATGAATGACAAATAGGTAATCTGCATTTTGGTGTAAGTTACATTCTTCTTATTTAATGAGATGTTATAGTTTAATATTTGCATGTTTTTAGGGATCTTGATTAAGTTATCATATTTCTAGATTCTTGATTAGCCTATGATTTTAGTCATTTTAATATTATCTTTGATTTTTCAGCTTTTGGGCCATGTTTGTTCATAGACGAAGAATCTTGGAAAATCAACTTGAACACTTTTACGCTTCGTTGTTACTTCTCCATATGATGTTGTTTCTGAAAATCATAATTAATGAAAACAATCTCAAAAAAATTAATCGAAATTATTATGTTTAGTGAAAACTATGTGTTCATCAGTGAACATATATGGCATAGGCATTATGTGTTCGTGAGTGAACATCTTCATTGATATTGTTCATGAGTGAAACTCATTTTGTTCACCGGTGAAAGAAAACCATATTAATGAAGTTACACTAGTGAATCAATTTGTTTAAAATGTGTTCATTAGTAATCATATTTGTTATTAGATTTATGGTACAAATCCCTAAAGGAGAAATTATTGGGTCTAAAATTTGGGTTTAATATATGATATATATATATATAGCCATAGATTCAGTTGAGAAGTGGTAATATTTGAGAAGTAGAGAAGTGTTCATAGCCTTTCATCAGGTCAAGATTTGTGGCTTTGATTGTGAAACACTAAATAATTCCTCGCATGCTGTGTCGAAGATAGATGGTAGTCTCGTAACTTTTACAAATAGGGGGCAAAACAAGTGCATATTTGAACCCATGTGATTCCAATTTATACATCTAATAAATAAGTAACTTTGTGGACACATGTCATGTTTCTGTGTGACGGTAATTGATTTTTCCCGCCTAAACATGTATTTAGACACAATTTTCACTTACGGTACAAAAATAGGTCTATTCAAATGACATTTATCCCTCTACACGTTTATTTTCCTCTTTTCATGGTTTAACTGATTTCCCATACAAATTAGAAATCTCTGATATGTTTTCTATAGTTTCTAAATCTGGAGGCTTCTGTCCAGACTTAGAAGTCTGAACACTAAACACACATATGTAGACACAATTTACATTACTAGTTCAAATGGGCCTATTTAATTGACATCTGTACATGTAAATATTACTGATTTCCGTATGAAAAAGTATTTCTTTTAAAATACTTAAATAAGCAAAAGTTTGGATTTCCATTCCTCAGACTTATAAGTCTGAAATCCTTTTCCTCAGTTAAAATTCAGAGTTGTCTACCAGACTTATAAGGCATACCAATATAAAAGTCTGAGGACAAGTTTGAAATCCTTTTTCTCGGTTAAAATTCAACATTGTCTTCCAGACTTGTAAGACATACCAGTATAAAATTCTGAGGACAAGTCTGAACTCCTTTTCTTTAGTTAAAATTCAGAGTTTTCTTCCAGACTTGTAACACATACAAGTATGAGAAGTCTGGGAAAATCAGAGTTATAAGTCTGAATTTAACTCTGAAGTGGCCTCCAGACTTACAACATAACTCTGGGAAAATCCAGAGTTGTAAGTCTGAATTTAACTCTAGAGTGGTCATCAAAACCGGGTTTAAAATCTCAAATTCGGATTTTTGAAGCATTTTTCACAAAACAATATTACCCGGAAAAAATATTCAGAATTGTAAGTCTGAATTTAACTATGTAGTGGTCAGCTCGACCCCAGCCAAGGGCTCTTCCCCTTGGACCCCACCAGGGGCTGCCACCCCTTGGACCCCGCCTCCAGGGGCACTGCCTCCATACCCCCGTCATTTAGGGCTTCGCCTCTAAATCAAAATAAACTCAAACAAGTGTGCACTCCGCACCTCCCTTAGTTGTTCGATATTTAACATGATTAAATTATTCTCATTACACTTAAATGACATTAGTGATACAAATCAYCAACATGAAGTCATCAGATATTGGCTATTTCTCAGACTTACAACATAACTCTGAATTGTTTTGTTTCAAACTTAGTTTTATAGTTTATTCTCAGACTTAGAATACAACTATGAACTCATCTTCAGAGTTGAAGTTCAGACTTACGTTTCTGAGTTATAAGAAGTCAGAATTCTTGTGACTCAGAGTTATGCTCATAGATACTTTCTAGACTTAGAAGACAATTCTGAATTCCTCTTATTCAGAGTTAAGTCCAGAGTTATTTTCCAACGTAACAATAGAACTCTCACTACAAGAGGAATGAACTTTAGAGAAGAAATTTTTAGAGAAGCCTTTAGAAGTGTATCTAAAACTACATTATAGAGAAGGATTTAAATGACAAAAATGAGAAATGTAACTAAAGGTTGGACGACATTTAAAGAAGGATTTACAGGCTAATTATACGTTATAAGAAATGTCGTTAAAAGTTTTAGAGAAGCTTTTATAAAAAAATGTCTCTAAAGAGTTTCATCAATTTTTAGAAACATTTTCTTAAGCTTCTCTAAAGATTAAGAAAAAGTTTAAATTTTTTAAAATTAAATAAAAATGTTCATTTTGACAGTTTAAACATAAAAAATTTATAAAAGAATAATTTAATAAAATTAATTTATAAATAAAAGAGTGAAATCCACATTCCTAACCTAGTTCCTAAAATAGTAAGTGGTATTCAAAGTGGCGGCTATTCAGTCAAATACCAAGTTGTCAAAAAGGAAAAAATAAACATGCCCTGTTGAATTATTTCCACATATAGAAAGGGATCATTTTGTATAACAAGGTTCCAGTTTCAGTTTTGATTCCATTAATCCATCATGTCTTAATAATTGTGAACCAATTTAAGCCTCTGCATGTACCGTAAGAGCTTTGACTGTACATGAGTTTATTTTGATGTGGAGTGCATACTTGTACCTTATTTTTTTAAATTGTTTCTAGATACATGTTTAGGCGGAAAAAATCAATAACCGTCGCAAATTAACCGTCCAAAGGGACACATGTCACTTAAATAGACCTATTTGAATCGTAAGTTAAAATTGTGTCTATATTCATGTTTAGGCGGGAAAAATTAATAACCGCCGCATAGAAACATGACAAGTGTCCCAAAAGTTACTTATTTATTAGGGTTATAGATATTTGTATGTGTTTGTGGGTTCAAATAGGAACCATAATGTTTTGAAAATCTAGAAACCGATATTAACTTTTGAGTAGTTTTGAACTAAATTATTTTTAAAAACACAAGCTTTATCACTTTCAGCTTAATATTCATTTTGATATATAGAATTTTTCGTTTTTAACCGCTTAAATGTATATAAAGAAACTAAGTTTAATAAAATTAATTTATAGATAAAAGTGTGAAATCCATACGCCATATGACATTCCTAAAACAGGAAGTGGTATCCAAAATGGCGGCTACGTAGAATTCCCACATGACACGAATTAGACCGCGAAAGTGTATTTAGTATAAGCAATCAAATACCAAGTTGTCAAAAAAGACAAAATAAACGTGCCCTCTTGAATTATTTCCACATATAGAAAGGGATCATTTTGTATAACAGTTTCAGTTCTGATTCCATTAATCCATCATGTCTTAATAACTGTGAACCAATTTGATAAAATATTATCCACTTTTCCAAATGAAGAGACAAAAAAAAAAAAAAAGGTCAAGTGGAATTACATCCCCACCTTCCTACATTATCATCTTATGACGCTCATGTATAAAATAGCATGATCTAATCTATACTTTTTGTGTTCGATCTGTGTAACTACTTGTGTTTAATTTGTATATTTGAGAAATGGAGAGAGTGGAGGGACTTCTTTTTTATGCCTCCGTAGAAGGAAATGTAACCCTCTTGCAAACATTGCTTCAAGAAGATCCCTTGATTCTTGATAGAGTTACCGTAAACCGTTGTGACGACATGCCTCTACATGTTGCGTCAATGCTTGGACATTTTGACTTTGTCAACGAGATCCTAAGCCGAAAGCCGCAGCTTGCCAGAGAGTCCGATTCACAAAGGCGCTTGCCCCTTCATATAGCATCTGCAAAGGGGCACGTGGAAATAGTTAAGGCGTTGTTATCGGCTCACCCTGAGACGTGCCTTGCACGTGATCGTGATGGGAGAAACCCTCTCCATCTTGCAGCCATTAAAGGACGTTATCAAGTTGTGAAAGAGCTGATGCAAGCTCAACCACATGCAGCTAGGGCCATGGTGGAGCAAGAGACCATCTTGCACTTGTGTGTGAAGCATAACCAGCTGGAGGTTTTGAAGTTGTTGGTGGGGAGCATGGGTGATCATGAGTTTGTAAATTCTAAGGATGGTGATGGCAATAATATACTACACCTAGCTGTGGCTGACAAACAAATTGAGGTATTATAATTCTTGGGAAAAAGATTACCTTTTTATTTCGTACTTGCAAGATTTGTTTATGGATTATGACTAATTCATTATTTTGAATATCTGTTAGACCATAAACTTCTTGCTACTTGATACAACAATAGAAGTGAATGCATCAAACACAAAAGAGGAAACATACACGGATATATTGGCTCAAGGTCCAAAAGATGTGAAAGATCGACAAATCATACGATCCCTAACACGAGCAGATGCTGTTGAGCCAAAAACAGAAGGTTTGATAGAAAAAATTCCTCAAAAATGGATAAGCAAAACATGTTTAGATTATAAGAAACTGTTCCCGCCTATTAGACAAAAGAATAGAGAAGACTGGTTGGACAAGAAGCGAAACACTTTGATGGTTGTGGCATCATTCATAGCAACCATGGCCTTTCAAGTAGGTACTAATCCTCCGAGTGGTGTTTGGCAAGAAGACAAGCTTGACGCAATTCCACCCCGACACGCTGGGTATGCTGTCATGGCAWACAATCATCCAGTTTTACACCATATCTTTCTGATTAGCAACACRGTGGGTTTTATTTCGACTCTTAGCATCATCTTGTTGCTTATTAGTGGATTGCGTTTCTTGAAGCATCGTGGTTCCACATGGATTATGATTGTTATCATGTGGATTGCTACCACGTCTTTGTCGATCACTTATTATGTTTCCATAACGGTTACAACACCAAAAGAACAGGCTGAGACAATTAGACCTTTGTCAGTTGCCATTTTGTTCGTGTGGATCGGGTTGATGACTGTTGTGGTTGGGGGACACATGCTTCGGCTGATGGCAATGACAAAAGAAGATCAGAAAGCTTAGCTACCGTTAAGTCTAATCGTCATAAACCATGCTCAAATTTATCTATCTTGTAAAATATTTAGCCGTTCAAGTCTTAAATTTGTGTGTATTTCCTTACAACAGGGAAAAACCCTTTGTTATTGATGGTTATTTCAGCATTTAATTCTCCTTTGTATCTCCATTGAAGATCCACTAAACTAGAGAGAAAGAGAACTTGTTTTTATTCTATCTATATATCTTGGTACAATTCCACTCAAAACTATATATATATCTCTCTCTCTCTCTTGTTTGTTGATGAAGAACTGAATTGGTTTCTAAATATGTAGCAACAACATTATTGTTAGAAATAATTATAAGCTAGACTTGAGTAATATTAATGACACTTAAATAACCGTTGACATTGAAGAGTCATAACGTTCAACGTGTTTATATATATATAGAGAGAGAGAGACTTGGGATCATGTGAGACCAAGTCTTTTCTGTGAGACCCATAAGACCAACTTACATCCATTGGGTTTGATCAACAATCTGATCAATGGTCTGAAGTCGTCCAATGGCATTTTTGTAATTATCGAAGAATATGGTGGCGTTTATAAAGGTTCAAGGTTCGTATATGTTGAAGTTTGAATTTTCAGGTTTTTATCTTCATTCATGAAAACCCCTCCCGGCGCGAACTGATTCGCCATTGAAGGCTTACCCATAGCAAACTTTGTTCATCGATTGAAGGCTAAATTTCTGTTGGTAAGTAACAAAAGTTAGGTTTTCTTTTTTATTACATTGTGTTGTTCTTCTTTTTCGTCTTCTGTTATCTTATAATTTGTCATTTTAGTATAACCACTGTGATTTTCAATCTTAATCTCTTCACTCATCGGAAGCCTCTTCAAACTCTAGACGCGAACTGTGATTCTCGATAACTGATTCGCCATTGAAGGTTTACCCATAGCGAACTTTGCTCACCGATTGGATGCTAAATTTCTATTGGTAAGTAACATAACTTAGGTTTTCTTTTTGATTAAACTCCAACGCGAACTGTGATTCTCGATTGAAGGCTTTTACCTATATCGAACTTTGATTATCTATTGGAGGCTAAATTTATGTGGGTAATTAACGAAAATTAGATTTTCTTTTTGATGAAATTGTATTATTCTCCTTCTTCATGTTCTGTTTTAATGGATTCCAAGTTCAAACCCTAGTTTCATATTCATGTTATGACCATTGTTGACGTGTCTCATTATATATCTACAATTCTGAATCATGCTTTCCCATGATTTAATGTCAATGTTGACCATTGTTGATTTGTATGTAGAATACACGAAACTTTTCATTAGAAACAGTAGTAACTAGTTTTTGTACTTATGTTTTATTTATTTTTTATTTCTTCAGACACGCCAAAAAAGAAAATAGGAAAAATGCCATTAACAAAAAAACTTGTTGCCAAGCTAAGAAGTAATCCAAAGGGAACTTCTACTCCAGAAGATGAAAATGAGATGAATATTGAAGGTAACAATTGAATGAACATTTTACATTTGATGTTTTGCCTTATTAATCATTGCTGCTTTGTTTTACTTACCATTTCCACAAGTTGGGTTCTTATCGTAAACATCATGTCTCTTTGAGGCTGAGATGAACTCTGTGATATCCTACCCCGAGCCATACCCCAACCACTTACTACCTCAGCTAGGTAGTCTCCTAACTATGAGACCGCGCCCAACAGAAAGWCTTGTGGTCAACTATCGTATTATCCCTAAAAGGGGGACTCTAACTAAGAAAGTGGAATACTCCTCAGTGGATTCAACTATTCACCCAATGTTGTATGGGAAACTGTCCTTTCCARTAGACGGGTACCTGCCCCCGGAAGATAGATGCCACGGAAAAGACCCTAAAATCTCTGTTGTGTGCCCCGATAATCAATATTCTCAATATTCGTACCTTGTTGAATAAGAAAAACTAGCCGTCTCTGAATAATCATCACTAGTCAGTTGTCCGAACCTATTACTATTCCTCTGCTTCTCCATTTGCTCGATCAGGGGAACCACGCCAACATACGGTGCGCTTAAGACGAATGTCATATAAGGAGAGGAGGACGGGGCTCATGGTCCCTAATCAACTTTAATCTATAAGAACATTTGAATATTTTTGTTTGACCACGAATGTATTTCATGGTCTTAAATGAAGAAGGTAAACATTCACAGTGTTGTTGCTGTGAAGGTTTGGTGTTTTTGTTCCTTCCCAATTTTTATTAAGGTAATCTCATAGGTCTCACGAAAACAACCTAATCTCTCATAAATTGTGATGCATTATTGATAGTTTCATTACAAATAGTTTACAATTCTCTTATGGTAGCAAAGCATTCTAAGTTTATTATGTTTTGTAGATAATGATGTGAGATTGATGGATGTTGAAACCTCATCCTTTATGCCCTCAAGTCAACCCATGGTCTCAAAAAGGATTTTACGTCAAAGGATTCTTAAGCCTTTACCTGCTGAAGAAGCAGGTAATGTTTAATATAAACCTTCACAATCAGCTTGCAGTGAAGGTAGTGTTTTTATTTTTAATTTTTTTGTTTTAATGAAATGCAAGTTGTATAACTTTATTCTCTTTTCTTCTAAACAACCTTCTGAAGTACAAAAAAGGAAGTGCAGACATCATAAAAAGAATGAAAAGAATTTGAAGTTGGCTAGGGTTGCAAATGAAGTTGAAGATGAGGTAGTTCAGGTTTTGAG